CCCTCCCTCCCTCCCTCCAGGCACTCCCCACCTCTCTGAAACTGCACCGCCGCCCGGTTGCTCATGAGCACAGAGGCCAGCTTGACCCGCCGGGTGGCCGTGTCGCTGCCCTCGCCGCGCATCACCTTGTCGGCCTGGCCCAGGTCGCTGGCGTAGTGCTCGGTGAGCATGCGTATGGCCTTGGTGTAGCAGTCGACGGCGGCCTGCAGCCCCGGCGGCCCGCCCTTCTTGAAGGCCGCATTCCCCTGCTCCTTCAGACTCTCTGCCAGCCGCTCGTACGAGTCATCCTGATGACGCACAGACGATTGAATGGCCTCAACACAGCTTCTGCGCGTCACGATCTGTGCAGGGGATGGTGTGTGATCTCACCACGTCCACTGCGTTGGGCTTGGTCGTGCCGTCGTCGAAGAGCGGCGTCACAGACGGACCTTCGCTCATCTCTACGTCGCCCTCGCACACCACACCACCATTGTTTGACGTCGGTTTGTTCCCTCTTCCACCTCGAGATGAGCGAGCTTTGAGCTTGCGCCACTTCTTCTTCAAGAACAAGTCTTCTCGCTCACTCTGAGCTTAGGGCGACGCAGGAGCCACGCAGACGGGTACCTCTGTCGATATTCGTCGATTGTGAGAATCGGCACTCATCCGATCTGCCGCTGCTATACCTCTCTCGCCGGCAGATCATCACATCCGCCGTGAAGTGCCCGTCGGCCACCACCACGGCCACAGCAGACAGCCTCGACAAGCCAGCAGAGGAGATGAGCGGCCGGCCGATGCTGCTCAATGTGGGCGGCTTCGTCGTGGCGTTCCCTCGGGATGTGCTGCTGTGCGAGGGGCTGCGGGACACCTGCCTGGCGGTGCTGCTGAACCGCTTCGACAGCTGGATGATCACAGACGACAATCGCATTCACTTCATTGACGCCGACCCCTTCTACTTCATCTGGTGAGGGGGAGGGAGGGAAGCAACACGATGGCTGACAGGCAGCAGCACTCGCCGTGTGTGTGTTCAGGTTGACTGTGAAGCTTCGGCACCTGAGCTGCAGCCGCATCGACGTGAGTGAGATCATCGAGGGCTGCCCCGCACTGGCCTTCTACCACGACCGATTCTTCGCCAAGACGGCCGTCACCATCGAGCCGCAACACGGTGACCACGACAGCGAGGCGTTCCGGGGCTTCATGGCCGTCATGGGGCCCTTCATCAGCTCATCGGTGGCGGGCGGGACGGGCGGCAGTGAGGTGCTGAGTGTGC